GCTTAGGTGTACATATAACTAAGAAGGAAATACCTGCTTAAACAAAACACTGATGAAATTGAAGAAAATGCAGATAAATGGAAAGACAAGCCATCTTCACAGATTGGAAGAATTAACATAGTACAAATGTCTCTTCTATGCAAATCAAAACTACACTGAGTTTTATCTCACCCCAGTCAGAATGGGAGCCATCAAGAATACAAATGATAATAAATGCTGGAGAGTTTATGGAGAATAAGGGAAACATTTACACTGTTGGTGGGACTTTAAATTTATATATCCACTATGGAAGCAGTATGAAGATTTCTCAAAAGAGTAGGCCTGGAACCACCATATGACTCATCTGTACCCCTCCTCTGTATTTATTCTTAAGAACTAAAGGCACCATACTATATTGATACATGCATATTCATGTTTATAGCAGCAAATCATAATAGGCAAACTATGAAAAAATCCTAGGTATTCATCAACAGAATTAATGGATAGAAAATGAGATCTGTAAACACAAATGAGTTTTCCTTTATTCAGCCATAAGAGGAGAGAAATTACATCATTTACAGGAAAGTTGCTGGAACTTGAGAATATTATGTTAAGTTAAATAAGCCAAACTCACAAACAAGGGATATATGCTTTCTCTTATATGGGGAAACAAAAGAGTAAAAAGGAAATGAAAAGTTCAGGTGGGCGAATCTCTTGAAAATTGAAGGAAGTAAAAGGGATCAGAGGAGGCAAGAGGAAGGAAGAGGGGAAAGACTGGGAAATGATGTTGGTCAAATTATATTGTTATATCATTTTCATGTACAAGTATGTAACAAAGTATCCCTTCATTGTGTAAAATTATAAAATACCAATTAAAAATATATAAATGAGAAATATAAAGCCTTTTATAAACACCACAAAAATGTGAAAAATGGATCTACACATCTGATAAAATCTTGATGAAATTTTTAATATCATTTTTCAGAAAAAAAAATGTCATTGATTTTTAATTGAGCCACTGAAGACCCCAAATAGCCAAGACAATCCTGAACAAGAACAAATTTGTAGGCATAACAATTTATGACATCAAACCATATTATAAAGCAACTATAATCAATACACTACTGTACAGGCTGAAAACAGACACATTGGCTCCTGGAAGAGAATTGAAAGCCCAGACAGAAGCATATTCATTTATGGTCAATTGATTTTCAACAAAGGTACTAGGAACACCATATGGGAAGGGAACAGTCTCTTCAACAAATAGTGCTGGGCAAAGTGGCTGTCCACTGAGAAGGAATGAAAGTAGACCCTATTTCCTACCACATGCAGAATGAATGAAGCTAAATGAAAATTGATTGAAGAGCTTAGAATAAGAACTGAGGAAAAGTTCCACAAAGAGGTTCAGTAACAATTCATTTCAATATGATCCTGAAACCTTAGGCAAGAAAATAAAAATAGACAAATGAATGATATCAAACAAAACAGCTCTACACAACAAAGGGAACTATTATTGAGATGAAGAAGCAACTCACAGAATGGAAGAAGATATTTGCAGACCATCCATCCAATAAGGGGTCAACATCCAAAACGCATAAGGAGTTTGAACAACTCCACAGCAAGAAAATAAACAACCTTGTTTTTAAACCAGCATAGAATCTAAATAGACATTTCTCAAACAATGCTACATGGTCAACAGTCACAGAAAAAAATGTTAGGCAAGCATCACTAGACAAAATGAAAAAGTAAAATAAAACCAGAATACCATGTCTTAGATCTTAGATTTACTTTAATCAAAAAGACAAAAAAAGTGTTGGAAAGGATGGGGAGAAAAGCAGTAATCCAAAGGATATCTGCACTTTTATGTTCATTGCAGCATTGTTCACAGGAGCCAAGATGTGGAAACAACCTATGTTTCCATCAATGGATCAAAATAGGAAATGTGGCGTATGTATACACAAGGGAATACTACTTAGCCTCACAAAATAAGGATATCCTGTCATTTGCTACAAAAGGAATGATCCTGGAGGACACCGTATTAAGTGAAATAAAGTGGGCCCTGAAAGACAAATTCCATACAATCTCACTTATACATAGCATCCGAATGAGTCGAGGTCCTAGAAGTACAGAGCAAAATGATAGGTACCAAGGTTAGGAGAGGGGCTTGAGAATAAAAATAATGGGGAGTTGTTGATCAGAGCATAAAATATCTGATAGGAGAAAAAATGTTTTGAGAACTGTTCCACAGTAGGCTGACCAGAGTCAATAATAATAATAATGTTTGGGGTATTTTCAAAATAAGTAAGAGTCAACTTCAAGTTCTTCACTGCAAAAAAGGACAGGTGATCAAGATGATGGGCACATGAATTAATTTGTTTTAGCAATTCTATATTTTGTGTGTGTGTGTGTGTGTATTTATATATACATGTCAAAACCTCTCCTTGTACCCCCTAAATGTCTACAATCGTGCTCTGTTAATTAAAAATAAAGAAGAAGAAAGTATAATGAGATAGAATTACACATTTATTAGGATATCTATCATTTCCAAAGGGAAAAAGCTAATGTTGTCAAGAATATGGAGAAACTGAAAGCTTTGTTCATTCCTGGTGGGAATGTAAGATTCCTTAACAACTTGAGAATGTAAGAACTATTGGCCACGTGATATAGTTATTCTACTTCAAAATCCTCATCCAAATGAATTACAGGCAGGGAACTAAAACTCCATATAGTCCAACAAAAAGAGTGAAGCTAGCATAAACTAGTAATAAAAATCCATCAATGTTAGTTCATAAGTTGGTGCAAATGTACCACACTAATGCAAGAGTTTAATAACAGAGAAAACTGTTGGTTTTGGTGAGCTCAGGGTGAATTGGGGAATCTCGATTTTCACTATATTTTTCTATGAACTAGAATGTAATAATTTCTGATTAATTAATCATTTAAACATAAAAATCAATGTTTTCCACAAAAATAAAACAAAGCACTTTGTAAAGGGGAAATAAATTTGTTCCTGCTTATAGTTGGTTAGTGCATATGCTGTGATTCCTAAATGTCTACTGGATTCCAAAATCCCCCTCCCTGCTGAGTATCACTTGGTCCATTACCACTTGAGTTAATTTACTGACAAAGATAAATAATTGAACATCATTGTCTTTCAATGAGGTGTTATTGGTTCAAGAACAGAGAACATGTGTAACCCTATAGGTTAACTCCCAGTCTGCTTTCCTAGAACCTTCTCCCTTGTCTTCAGCTCTTGAGCTCACAAGCATTGAATATGATTTCTCAGTATCTTTTGCAGGCAGCCCTGTCCATGTGACACAGTTCTGGCTAATACAATATTAACACAACTTCGGAGTCTTTTTATTTCCTTCTGAACCATTACTAAGCATTCCTATTTCCCCTCCTTACCTGCCTGAAACAGACACTGAGAGAGGGAGATGAAACAGCTATCTTGGCACCAAAGGTGTAGAGTATCAGGAAGGAGCCTTATTTGTTAAGCATGGCTGACTTGTAAGCATGGATCTTCCTGCATCATTCAGAGGCTAACCAGAGTTGGATGCTTATTCCATAGGCATTGTTTAAACCACTGCTTTAGTGTGTTCTGTAATTCACTGAGAATACCATTCAAACTGATACATGTACAAGAACAGTAATTTTTATATAAGAATTGCATTGAGCGAATGTGATCGGTTTCTCGTGGTGTTTAGGTAGACTTTAGTAGCATAAGCACTGGATGTACTAAAGATACTAGCTGGTTGAGTATTGGTAGTAGATGGCTAACCACAGATTGTCTTTTGCTGCTATACAAGGAATTGATGGGTAAAAACTCTCCATCTCACTGCAGCCTCCACCAGCTTTTTACTCTCACTCCATTGCCATGGTCACATATTAGTTACCATTTGTCATCTTACTTTAACCTTTGTTATTAAACAATGGAAAATATGTTTTATACATAAGAGCCTAATCAAAGTGGGACAGAAAAGACGGATTGAAGGCACCACATTGAAAGAAAATTGGCATTGTCATAAAGTAGTAAATACACACTGTTCCAGAAACCCTGCCTCCATGGATTGTGTGGAGGACCAGATGTAGGACATGGATCAGGGCAGTAGTGAATAGCAGACTGGTGCATCTGGGTGGGAGCCCTTTGTGCTCTCTGGTATGTAAGTTTCTGTAAGTTTCCTGGCATTAACCTCATTGAAAGCTCCATTTTAGACTGTAATCTTCCTGACTTCATCCAAAGTGGTTCGTGGTCTCCAAGGTTTTTAGTCATTTATGAAGCTGTGCAAAGTGGCTTTGTGAGGATTTAATCAATTCTAGAAGTATCATTGTCATTAGGTGTGTATGGAATTCAAAATGCAAATTTCTGTCTTAATCCATTTAAATTCTGTTTCCAGACATTTGATGTAATATATTACCTTCCCATTTAAATGCTGGCTAACATGTACGTATACGTAATTTGAAGGAACTGGCAAAAAACGAAGATTGCAGCTATGTTATTTACTTTTCTAACAAGTTTTCATATTACTCTACAATTGTTTTGGTTAAAAGAATGGTTTGTAAGTTATAAAACATTAAGCATAAACTGTCTTTCCTTACTGAGTTAGTTCTGTAATATATATGATACTGAGTTGCTTATTCTCTTCTATATATGTCTATCCATTTATCTCCTTTAAAAATTATTTTTGTCTCTCAAAACCTACACCTGAGAATATAACCTTAGTTTATATGTCCTTAATTAAACAAAGGTGAGTGTTCAATCTGACTGCTTCTAATGAATTATTCAATAAGACATAAAAATGTTTAAAAATTAAAAGAGTCAAATCTTTGTGGTTTTAGGCATATCTAATCTAAGAATTAATGTAAATAAAAGCATTTGGTCCACTTTATGTAACTTCTGTTAGGCATTGCATTAAAATGAGTTATGTGTGGGTAAAGTGACAAAGATTGAAAAAAAAATTAACTAATAGCACTAAAAAGCAATAATGTAATCAGATTGTGAAAAAAAAAGACAAAAAGACTTTCAGCACAAGAAGTTTTATTCACAGAAACTACAAAACAGAAAGTACATTTCCTTTCACATCAAATGAAAAAAATCAAACAATATAGTCATTTCTCGTATTCTAATAATCATGCAGCCAGAAAGAGATATCAGTAAAAATCTCATCAAGAATACATGTGAGCATCAGGTAAGATGTGCACAATTAGCTTCATCTTAGCAAAATTTAAGCATAAATCTTCTGGTACATTTACGTTGGCAACATTTCTCAGTCAGCGAATCTTCATTGATCTGTCGCTTTTTTCGGGAATGAGTATTCAAGCTTAAGTATTCTAATTTTGAAAGGCTATTTTCTGCTTCCCCTTGTCTATTGTGAATAATATCCTTCAACTCTTCAGGACTAGGCTTTGAATCCTCTATTGCAGGTTCTTGTCGTTGTAGCTCTAGTGACAATGGCAGCCTCTCAGATGGTGTTGCCCTCAGCTGTTGTGGCAAATTAGGACTGAATCCCAACATCATATTGAAGGCACCTGCATCTTCATTGAGGGAGGACGGCATGATATCTATTAAGTTTAAAAAAATAAGTGGGGAGGGGGAGAAAATATTGATGTCAAGAATCATCAGGAAAACTGTAAAAGTAAGAAGAGACAAAAACGAAGGCATTTCCTCAATATACTTGAACAGTGAACAAGAAGCAGCAAGTATCCTGCTATCTAAGCAACCCAGTTTCCTTATATTTGAGTAGCTTAAAGTAATATAATCTTGTCAAAGTTCTGCTTTACTCCACTTGGTCCTCTGTCACCTCTTTTTCTCGTCATCCCCTCTTTGCTTTGACATTCATCTCTCATCTTTCTGATGTCATGCTGTTCATTGAATCACTAATTTAAACAAAAGATGGAATTTTTTTTTCCTTTGGTACTAGAGATTGCATCCAGAGGCACTTAACCACTAAACTGCATCCCAACATCATATTGAAGGCACCTGCAGCTCACTGCAGCCTCCACCAGCTTTTTACTCTCACCCCATTGCCATGGTCACATATTAGTTACTGTTTGTCATCTTACTTTAACCTTTGTTGTTCAAGCAGTGGAAAATATATTTTATACATAAGAGCCTAATCAAAGTGGGACAGAAAAGATGGATTGGAGGTACCACACTGAAAGAAAATTTGCATTGAGGCAGAGTCTCATTAAATTGCTTAGGGCCTTGCTATGATACTCAGGCTGGCTTTGAACTGGTGATCCTCCTGCCTCAGCCTCCCTAGCTGCTGGGAGTACAACTGTCGATGCCAGTGCTCCATGCTGGATTTTGATTTTTTAATCTTTTCCATTACTAAAAAAATTTTACTTATGATAGTAACCCTTAAAGAGGACCATAATAACCTTAACCTATCCAAACTCATGGTGGCAAGCTACTGCTTCAGAATAAAGTTTAAAATGAGGAATTTCCAAGAGCTCTGATATAATTAGCTGAGGATATGTCTCTCACAAATCTCTTTAGCAATCACTTTTCCCCAGACTATTTACTCCAAGTCAATAGACTTTGATATTGAAAAGAGAAACAGGTTAGAAGAACACAAACAAAAAGCAAATACAAAGCAATCTCATCTTTCCTAGTTTGAATTAGTAAATTCCAAGATTCTGTGGTATTCTTTATAACTATTATACAAGAATTATGAAATGAATGGCATTATATCAATCTCTGACAATGTAGAAAATAAATTTAAATCATACTTTAAATCCCATAAAGAAAAGTAAATGTGCAGTGCTGCGGACTGCAGCCCCAGAGTAGCGCCTTCTCTGCAGCACATTGGAACTGCGCTGTGACTGCCAGAGACTGCCCAGAGGATCGCTTGCAGCCACCACTGCTGCACACGGAACAGGAAGATGTGGGACACATGGATTTGAAATTCATGTGAAAAACCGCTTTGGGGGTGTGAATGTGATTTCTGATGAAACTGGATTGGAATAATTTTCATAGTGTGTGTGTGTGTGTGTGTGTATGTGTGTGTGTGTGTTTTCTTTTTAAATTTTGCATTTGACTTAAAGTGCCATGAGTAAATTTGTATATTGCAGGGTGGTCCTAGCCACCTCCTTAATTTGGGTACTGTTGGATACGTTCTTGCTGCTTTACTTCAATGAATGCAACAAATGTGATGAGAAAAATGAGAGAGGACTTCCTGCTAGGAATGTTCTACAGCCAGCATAAAAAGCTCATGAAGGTCCTGGAGAAATGGGGAAACCAGTTGTCATTCCTAAAGAGGATCAAGAAAAGATGAAAGAGATGTTTAAAATCAATCAGTTCAATTTAATGGCAAGTGAGATGATTGCAAACAACAGATCTTTACCAGATGTTAGGTTAGAAGGGTGTAAAACAAAGGTGTATCCATATAATCTTCCTACACAAGTGTGGTGATTGTTTTCCATAATGAGGCTTGGAGGACACTTCTGTGAACTGTCCATAGTGTCCTTAATCGCTCACCAAGCTCATGATAGAAGATACTGTTCTAGTAAATGATGCCAATGAAAGAGACTTTTTGAAAAGACCTCTAGAGAATTATGTGAAGAAACTAAAAGTGCAGGCTGGGGATATAGCTAGTTGGTAGAGTGCTTGCCTCACATGCACAAGGCCCTGGTTCAGTCCCTAGCACCACAAAAAATACAAAATAAATAAATAAAAGTGCCAGATCATGTAATTTGAATGGAACAGCATTCTGGATTGATCAGAGCTAGATTGAAAGGAGCTACAGTGACCAAAGGCCAGGTGATCACCTTCTTAGATGTTCATCACCAGTGCACAGTGGGGTGGTTGGAGCCTCTCTTAGCAAGGATCAAACATGACAGGAGAACAGTGATATGTCCTATCATTGACGTGATCACTGATGATACTTTTGAGTACATGGCAAGCTCTGATATGACCTATGGTGGATTCAACTGGAAGCTCAATTTTTGCTGGTATCCTGTTTCCCAGAGAGAAATGAACAGAAGGAAAGATGATTAGACTCTTCCTGGTAGATCACCTACAATGGCAGGAGACCTTTTTCCAATAGACAGAGATTACGGTCAGGAAATTGGAACATATGATGCTAGAATGCATATTTGGAGAGGAGGAAAAACTAGAAATCTCCTTTAAGATTTGGCAATGTGGAGGAACTTTGGAAATTGTCACTTTCTCACATGTTGAACATGTGTTTTGGAAAGTTACCTGATCCATACACATTTCCAGGAGGCACAGGGCAAATTATCAATAAAAATAATAAACAACTTGCAGAAGTATAAATGGATGAACTCAAAAATATTTTCTATCTAATTTCTCCAGGTGTGACAAAGATAGATTATGGGGATATATCTTCAAGACTTGGTCTAAGACACAAACTACAATACAAACATTTTTCTTGGTACTTAGAGAATATTTACCCTGATTCTCAGATTCCACATCACTATTTTTCGTTGGGAGAGATATGAAATGTGGAAACAAATTAGTGTTTAGATAACATGGCTAAAAGAGAAAATGAAAAAGTTGGAATTTTTAATTTTCATGGTATGGGAGGCAATCAGGTTTTCTCTTATACTGCCAATAAAGAAATTAGAACAGATGACTTTTGCTTGGATGTATCCAAACTTAATGGCCCAGTTACCATGCTCAAATGCCACCACCTAAAAAGCAACCAGCTCCAGGAATATGATCCAGTGAAATTAACCCTGTGGCATGTGAATAGTAATCTGTGCCTGGATAAAGCAACAGAAGAGGACAGCTAGGTGCCCAGCATTAGACTTCAATGGAAGCTGGTCCCAGCAGTGTCTTCTTCAAAATGTCACCCTTCCCGAAATATTCTGAGACCAAATTTTTTAGAAAAGAAAAAAATAAGGATTGAATGGACTACCTCAGCATGCGTTTCTGCCACATTCTTAAGTAGCAAAAAAGGAAAAGTGTTTTCCTCCTCTACAGGATATAAGGTTTATCAGCCATTAAAACTCAGACTTCTCTAGCTTTTCACTTCCTGTCCAAGAACGTGAAACTGCATAGTAGTGAGACTCGCACACTGATGTTTACAAGATTGAAACAGTCTCTCATCAAGAATCATGGAAAAGAATATTCAGACAAGGAAATAGTCAACACAATGTGCTTTCTAGAGAGCTGCATCTTTTATGGTTTGCTTGCACATCAGTAATTTCTGCTGGGTGCTGTCAATGAAGAGATTATCAAGATTTTTTTTCCTGATTAGAACTGGTAGCCAGTATATTAATTATTGACATAAAAGCAAATATAAAAGAACTGGAACCAGATCATTAAAACAACATTGAAAAAATTATATTAAACAGGGTTTAAATAAAATTAAAACAGAACTATGAGAAGTACAATTTGAGGCTGGGGGATATAGCTCAGTTGGTGGAGCGCTTGCCTAGCATGCACAAGGCCCTCAGTTCAATATCCAACACACACACACACACAGAGAGAGAGAGAGAGAGAGAGAGAGAGAGAGAGAGAGAGAGAATACAATTTGTTACAGTATGGTATCAAATTTCTATATAGATTTTATACCTCAGGAAAATAATACCTCAGAGAAAAATAACTGATTCCAATGACATACATTTGTTTTCATCTGTGATAGTCATGGATGCTTTTATTTTCCTTGGGGTGCTGAAAACAAGCTGGGAGAAAAAACTCTTTGAACATAGTTTTAATTTCTTTCTATAATATTTTTGTTTGATTTGTGGGCTGTTGAAATTGTGATTTTTAATTGCCTTCTAAAAAAATGGAGATTTGACATGATGCCTGGTCTCAACTGAACAAATTAGACATCTCAGTTCTTCTTGGGTCAACAGGCTGACAATCCAAGTCTTCTGTCTCTCCTTCCTCCCTTTTCTCTCTCATATTCTCTAGCTTTCTCTCTCTCTCTCTCTCTCTCTCTCTCTCTCTCTCTCTCTCTCTCTCTCCCTCTCTCTCTCCATACTCAGATGTGCTTCATTGTCAAGTGCATACTTAGATTAGATTATTGAATTGTAATGTTGATCTGCTGTAGTTTTTAAATAAAATTTGACTAAAAATGTTCAATTGGCAGTTTTTAATAAGTTAGCCAAAGAAGTTAAGCTCTTGTTCCATATTAATAGTCCTGCATTCTTTCTTAAATTCCATTTATGTTAAATTGTTTTTTTCTCTGATTTTTAATACCAACAAATCACCTATTAATTAAAAGTTACATTTTTAATTTCCTAGAAAGAAAATCCCATTGCAACATTGTTTCTGATATATATTTTTTCCTTCCTGTTTTGAAGATTATATTTAATGGCATTCTTTTCTTTAATTTTCAAAGACTCACTGCAGGTAGTGCTATTTCTAGTGCATAAGAATGTTTCTGAAAGTCATATCACTAATGATACTTGCCAAACTGAGCATCCGTGAAGTTTCTTATATCCTATTCAAGTTCATCAACATCAAGCACTGTAGATGTTTTAGGGTGAGGCTATGATACAGAATGCATAAATTGTCCCCAGGAAATATGAAATTATGCAGGTGCTGGATGGAACTTTTTTTCTATTCCATGAGCTATGTAATTCTATCTTCAATAGGCCTACTGCTTAAAACAATCAAATGTCTAATCAATAAATCATTTTCATGCTCAAAAAAGAAAGAAAAGTAAATGTATTTATTTTACACATTGATTCTACATGAGGATCACTTATGTATACTATATGCAAATGGTATCACAAATCTACTTTGTGATAAGTTTGTGATAAGTTACATACACCATATAAAATATAAAACACTTAATTGTTGGTAATTGAGCTTGCTTTCTCTGGATTTAATAGAACCCTCTATGGGTTTTCACTGCTTCTTTAACTTGGCTTCCATTTAATCTTCCTAAATGCTTTAGAAATAATAAACATATTTTTTAAAAACCAATCCATATTTGAACTGCTCCTAGTTCTGAGATTTTGCTTTTAAAAAATGTATTCATTGCAATTTCTAAAACTTTAGAAAGCAACAATAAAGTCTTCAGCTTTCCTGGTCTAAGAAGCAAGCTTCCCATTTCCCTGGTGTCCTTTATGTTTTTTCTGTACTCATCGAGTCATTTTTGTTTCTCTTCCATCACCTCTGTCACAGTTGAAGTACGAGACCCAATTCAAAAGGTGGGGAGGCCAGGCTCCCACCACAAGGTACATTCAAAGGGAGTGGAGGTAATCTTCGTGGCATAGGCCACTGCCAGTTTTTGACAAGAAGGATAGTCACTAATTCTAAGACACTTGCTATCTCACTTTTCAGGACCCCAGCAGAGGTCTCACCATGCTGCAATGTATCCTTTGGTACAGAAACTAGAAGATAACCAGCTCAATTTTTGCCCCCTTTCCTTTGAATAGGAGATGCTCCACCTAGGAGCTAGGTTACCATCATGCCTGCCACCTGACCTACTCAGCTTTTCCTCTGGGGTCCAGGACTGTACCTATCTCCTGCTGGAAATTGTGCAGCATCACCTCTTCTGTGGCTTCCCCCATGTCCCCACAGTGTTGACATGGTACCAGGTGAAAAGAATACCAAGTATCTCTTAGATGAGGCTTTTTGCTATTCTTGCATTTCTCCTCCCTCTGGCAAGATTCCCTTCGAGGTTCTTTCAATAAAAGCAAGTTATAAAGGAAAGGTTCAAGCTGGGCAACAAACACCACTAGCAGGATGACATCTCAGACTTCCTGAGTCCCCTTTGGATAGGTTGGCAGGCCCATAGCAACCAATGGGAAGTGATGGACCACTGGTGGCGGATGGGGGAAGCCTAGGCAAACCAAAGCTCTCACCTGCAGATCTCCGATGGGGATATCTCACTGGCCTGTTCCAGGTGGCATGGCCACAAATGTTGATCACTTCTCGGACTAATTGGCGACCACACATCTGAACAACCTCTTCCCACCATCCTGGTTGGGGTGCTGTGGAAACTTGGCTGAGCAGCAGCCAGATTCCTAGGAGGTGGACCAAGAACAGGTGAGACATCTGGGCCTTTTTTCTTGGCACTGGCAGCCTTTCTCTAGAGAATGCAACAGATCTCACCCACAGACCTGAGCCTGTGTGGCTTCCCTGGCTTCAGCCTGCTTTTCCTACCTGGCTCAACCAGCCTTTTATATTCTCTGGGCTCTTGCTCAGCTCTTGAGCCAATGGTCCCAGCTCCACCCTTTCCCCACCCACCTCCATGGAATTTACTCAGCTCTTGTTCACCCTCCCCATCTTCCCTCCATTACCCCATTCTTTTGCCCTGGGCCTTTTTACATTGAACTTTTCTTCTCTTTTCTTACCTTCAAACCATTGGTGTACTAAAGTCATTCTCCATTTGCAGCCTTTCCTTTATATAGAGCAAGAAATGACTGTTACATTGAATTCCATCACCAAAAATAAAGTAGTATCTTCTTAGAACCCAAAGTTTTCCAGCATGCATATTTGCCACACTATCTTCTAGCCTAAACAAGATAAGTTGGATAAAATAGTATAGAGTCTGGTATATCAACCCATAAAAGATATGATGCATTGATGGATAAATTGTTGACAGGAGAAAAAAAACTGGATCTTACTGTGAATCCTAGTTAAAACACACACACAATAGGTTTGTACAGTCAAATCTTAACTTTATAACAGACATTCTTCATGGTACTTGCCTTCTCCTCTGGGAGACATCTTGATTGTAAACAATATTGTAATATGAATATTGTAATGTGAGATTATATTCTGTATTTTTATAGATTGGAGAAGAGAGAGAGAGAGGGGTGGGAGGTGGGGGTGGAGAATGAACAAAGAAAAAAGAAATGAAGAAGAAATTGAATCCCACAATCTAAAAAAAAAATGTTGGTAACATGTTTTAGCACACACAAAAAAAATGTGCTTTTTTCTTACTGTAATCTATATTTGCTGCATTTGGTAAGAGTTGACTTTTTAGAACTTTATTTTAACTTTAAAAATATTCAACAGAGTTTCTGGTCATATGCTCATTAAACAACTCTGATAGATGTCCAGGGAACTTTTATGTGCAAATAGGTTTGTTTGTTTTTTCCAACAATTCATATGCTTGCATGCATAACCTACTCAGCTGTATTAGCTCAATTACAATTTCAACAGGGCCCAATTAGCATTGGTCAAATGTGCACTGTACAATTATTAAGATCATACCTAATGAAAGCTGTGGAATGGTTAGAGGCATTGCTGTTTTAAAAGGGGGTTTCATGAAGACAAGCATTAAAGAGAGTCTTCTCAAAATTGAAGTTCAAAGATATTTTAGGGGGACAGGGGTTAAGAGTTCTTGCAAGAATAATCCATTTTCAAATCTGTCTTCCAAAGGAATCACTCATTGCATAATATAATTTTGACTAATGTTTTAATTTTTAATGTGCATTTTTTAGAAGAGGTGCTTAACAGTCCATCTTGATTTGATATTTATATGGGTAAAAGAAGTGTCAAGTTTCAATCTTCTACATGTGCTGTTTCCCCAGTACCATTTATTGAAGAGACTGGCTTTTTTTCAATGTGTGTTTTTGGCCCTGTTATCAAGAATCAGATCTCCATAGGTGTAAGTGTTTATTTCCGGGATATCTATTCTATTCAGTTGGTCTATGTGTCTGTTTTCATGCAAGCACTGTGCTGTTTTGGTTACTGTGGTTTTGTAGTATGTCATAAAATCAGATACTGCAATGCCTCCAGCTTTATTCTTTTTGTTTAAGATTGCTTTAGCTATTTGTGCTTCCATGTGAATTTTAGGATTGTATTTTCTAGTTCTGTGAAGAATGCCATTGGTCTTCTGATGGAGATTGCATCAAATCTTAAATCACTTAGTGTAGTATGGACATTTTAACAATATTAATTCCTTTAGTCCATGAGCATGGGAGGACTTTCTACTTTTTTTTTTTGTATCTTCACTTTCTTTTGTCAGTATTTTGTAATTTTCATTGTAAAAGACTTTTGCTTCCTTAGATATAGTGATTCCTAGATTCTTAATTTTTGTTTTTGTATTTTCGTTGCTGACATAAATGGGGTAAATGTTTTCATGATTTCTCATCAGCAAATTTGTTATCGGTATATAAAAATACTACTGATTTTTGCATATTGATTTTGTATCTTTTACTGAAATTGTTTCACTTCTTATAGTCTTTCAGTGGAGTCTTTAGGTTTTTCTATACCTAGAATCATATCATCTACAAACATATAATTTAACCTCTTGCCCTCCTAATCAAATTCCTTTAATTCTTCTGTAGTCAAATTGCTCTGGCTAAATCTTCCAGTACTCTGTTGAGTAGTGAGAGTGGATATCCTTGTATTTTTCCAGATATTAAAGGAAAGGCTTGCAGCTTTTCCCATTCACTCTGTACCTGTCTATGATTTTGTCACATATAGCCTTCCTTGTGTTGTTATATATTCTTTCTATACTTAATTTATTCAGGGATGTTATCATGAAGAGATGTTTAATTTTATCTGATGCCTTTTCTGCCTCTGTTGAGATAAAATCTCACTAACAGGCTGGCCTTGAATTTGTAATCCTTCTGCTCTAGCCTCCCAAGAAACTAGGATTACAGACATGTGCCACCATACCTGGTTAAACAAATTTTAAGAATGAGTGTCCATTCTTCTCAAACTATTCCAAAGAATTAAAACAAAGGGAAATCTTCCAAACTCATTCTACCAGACCAGCATCCTTCTGATATCAATAGGAGACAAGAACACAACCAACAAAAAAAAGAACTATAGGCCAATATCTATGTTTATCAGAAATATTGGCTTATAGTTTTTGTATGTTCTGTCCTTGTCTCAACAAAATACTAACAAATCAAATCTAAAGGCCTATCAAAAATGTAATTCATCATTTCTAAAATAGATTTATTGCAAGGATGTAAGGATGTTTCAATATACATAAATCAGTATTAACTGAATCAACAGAATAAAGGAAAAAACTCATATGATCAGCTTTCACAAACCTTCCTTATCATATTTCAAACTGCCAATATCTCTAAACCATTGAGTTGTATATATTCCACAGGAATTTCTTATCATTTTTTGAAAACTTCACCAAGCTACCTAGATTTCCATTTCTTCCTAGGACAAGCTTTCATCCTGAATTATGTTCTCTTAACAGTAAAAAACACACCTAGGCCAACTCAAGGTCAGGATCTATTCTGCCTGCACAGAATATCAATTTGCCCACAGGATTTTGCTGACTACAGGTGAGAAGTACTCTAAAGAAAAAAAAAATAATAACATAAAATAAATTAACCAAGGTTAGCACTCCATCATTCAACCCCATGACACTATTAAACTAGCAGTTGTGGACTAGAACTATCGTGCAAGCCTCAGAATTAGTGATGCCACTGAGTCCCTATCAGTGGAATATAGGTTTCCAGTTGCTTTTATTCTAGGCATAATGATTTGTGATGAGCCAAATCAACTGTCATTAAAGTAGCCGCCAGAAGAACAAGTTAACAAAACAAATTAACAAGTCTGTACTACCTGTAAGAACATCCCACTGCTAACCTTGGTATTTGGAGCAGAAATAGGAGGTTCAAATTCAACAAGTCGGTAAATGAAACTTGGCAACAAATTTGATCTATCTACCACTGGTAGTACTTGAGTCAGCTCACTCCCTTCATGAAAATTGTTCTTCCTTGACTCCATTCTTACTTTCTAGACCTGTCTCACTCCCCCAGCTCCCAACCACTCTTGGATTCCTGGTATACCTGGAGCCCAAGTATGCTCCAGTCTTCATAAACCACAGGTACTGACCCAAATTTGCCAGAAGAAAAAACAGTGGAAGTGCTAAATAGTCAGCCTTGAGGGATATACTAAAAATGCTTTCTTCAAATTAGACAATTGGTGATATACACGATATTTCTGAAATCTCCTGTGGGCATCCACATGACCAAACTCTAGGGAGAACTACTTATCCTATTATAGAATAGACACATACCAAGGCCAAAAGATACCACACTGCCAAATAAGACACTTCAATACTATTTTCTCAGGAAGAGTTTCTTCCTTACCTGAAATGGTGGAAGAGAAAAAATATCTAGGCTCTAGCTAGTTTCAGTAGGTTAGCACATTTGAACATGCATGTATTGAAACTGTTGAAGTCTATAAATTAAATTGCTAATTTTATACGGTTCATACTTAGATTATATTGGTTGTAGATTATTTTTGCAATATGAGTCTGCACATTCCCCATCCTTTCTAACCTGTGTCCTCCTTTTAAAAACTAAAACATTAATATGATTTTTCTAAATAGCACATCTGGTATTTGTGCATTCAAATATTTATAGAGAACACTCTATAAAACCAAACCAAACTATTCAAAACTATGCTAAGACTTACTTAACCAAAGTCACATTTCTTAAAAAGATGCACAATTAACACAGTCTTGCTGTAATAATATTATGGGAAAAGCCAGGTAGTATAAAAAAGGAGTACAGAAACTGAAGTTTATACCAAGAGTTTTCTTTTGTTATTGCACATTTATTCTACACATTTATTATGTTACACTTTTATTTAACACTGTAATAAATATCCCTTAAAACAAAGAAAAACCATTGCATTAATACAAAAGTCAACATGCTATCTAGACCAATTTGCTTATCCACTCTCTTGGCAGGTTGGCCTTTCCAGGGTCAGGTATTATCGCAGAGTCTCTGCCATAACTTCAGGAGGATTAGGTGATAACAAAGAAGATGAAGTTAAAAATGAAGCTCCTTTAATGATGCTACTTGAAACCTCCAGGAGAGTTTGCAATATAAGTGTCCAAGTCTTCTCCTTATTTACCCACTGTACTACCACACTAGCTTACTCCCTCCACTCCCATATTTAAAAAAAAAAAAAAACTCTCATTTTCTTCAAAAGAAAAAGTGGGCTATTTGGTCCAGAAAATCCAAAAGGCAGCTTTAAAAACGCCAAGAAAGTATCACCTTATTGGACAGTGGACTTTTTCAGGGCTGGTCATCCTTCTCTGGGGCAATATGGATTTTGGAGGTTTCCTGTTTAGCCTGGTGGAAGACCACGCATAGTATCTCTCCAAAGCATGGGCCAGAGAGTACCTCAGTCTCCCAAAGTGCTACTGTAATCATCTCCACTACATGCTTTTCAGTGCTAAATAATAAGCCAAAAAATAAAGTGTCATTCACTGCAGTTGACACTTAGTAGCCCTGCCATATGCATTTGAGGGTTGCCAGGTCTACTCATGCAGCACCATTTCCCTACTTCTATGTGTGGTAATAAGTATCCTTTCCTCCACTGTTTCCTCAAGACTTATTGTCAAAATTAGAATCAAATCCTGCCTAGGCTCTGTCCCCTTGAAGGTGATGAAGACAAAGTGACACTTTATGGTCTGCAATAACCAGCCCAGTCCTCTTTTCCAAAGCAATGAAAGGGAAGGAGAACCCAGTCACTGAACTAACTTCATTTTGACTCCATCTTATCTTTGTAACTCTTTTTATCTCTCCTTCTGAGTTCTCCTGAGCCATTCTCTTCTAGAGTGATGTTGGATTCCAGGGACAAAAAAAAAAAAAAAAAAAGCTCTAACAAACATCTTGTGACATAAGTCAAAACTATGTGCAAAATAATGGCAACTTTCCTGTGGTAACAAGGCCCCATGTGACAAGACTCCTCCTGACAAACCCTGAGATAATGATGAATCAGACCACACCTAAACAAGATCACCTGCTTTGGTAGCTCTGCAAACCATCCAGCTATGCAAACCCCAACCTTTTCCCTCAATCCCCTTTCAATCAAACCTCCAACTTATTGTCATCCCCTCAAACTCAGGGTTTAGACATGGGTCCCCCTTGTCTCCCCAGTATAGCTATATTGATCCAAGCTCCTTTTCTTTTTTCCACCATTAATTTTCTATTTAGTTCTGTTTTAAGGCAAGGGGCGAGACCTGATTTATTGGATCCCCAGAATCAAGCCTCTGGTCTAGGACTTAGTTACAAAAGTCTTGCTTAGTGAAGGAGCTGTGCTCTGCAGTGGACCAGGGAACCAGATCACAACTGTGGAAATCTCCCCAGAGGAGCAGTTCTCAATCATTCACCCAACTTAAGGCATAAGGCTTGTTATGTATTGTTATGTGTGTTGCTTAAGGTTTGGATTTAGCTGTTCCGGATTTGTAGGCATCAACACCAATAGGAAACAAACGGATGTGAATAGGGGAACATAAGTTAAGGGGATAATTCTATGAAATGGGTCTACTGTGCTGATTTCACATTTTCTTTTAAAAAGCAATTCACCTGCAGCCCTGCCTACCTTAAGTCAATAGAACATGCTAAATTCCTTAGCAATAAACCTATTATCTGCAGACCTGTAATGCTCCTTCCTGACAATAAGTACTGCACAATTTATCCTAAAGGAGAGCACCAGATGAGACTTTAATGACTCTTAGATAGACCACACAGAATTCAGAAACACAGGAAAATTAGAGCTTATCAGGGTGGGCCAAAGTGACTCAGAGTTGCCTTGGATATTTACCATGTGCAGTGGAGACATGGAAGTCTGATGCAATCCTGCTGTCAGTCAATAGTCAAGAGAAGCACCTGGTCAAGGCTCTCTGGAAACTTCCCTGGAACTTCCAGTAAAACTGCTTGGCAGTAGGAGTTGACTCTGTCCTCTCTAAGAGGATGCACTTTTTTTCATTTACAGTGTCCCCATTTTTCTTCTCCTTCCTTTTTAACAAACTCATGCCTGCTACTTTTAGTGACATCAGAAATCTATCAGAAACAAAGAAAGAAGAAAGGAAAGAAGGAAGGGAGAGAAGGATGGAGGAAGGAAGAAAGAAATCTTTCTGGCATGATTGCAAAAACCACTAAGCAAGAACTGCTGTGGCTCTCTTCGCTTCCTGGTGGGTTTGTGCTAACAGCCACCACTTCTTCTGCTTGATCTGCAGAAAACCCTCTCGCTCCATTTGCAAGCAAAATGACTGACCAGACTTTAAGCTCCTTAAAAATTCCCAGTTGATCATTTTGAACTGGTGTAAACTGCCCCCATTAAATTCTTTAGAAGGATTAAACACGGGCAAGGTAATTCTTCATACCATCTTCTTCCTCCCTCAGCCATGATCTTACCTCACTACTTGGGAACACAAATAAACCAAGCCATCAGGGCTTCAGCCTTGCTGAACTCTGTATTGTTCAGTTCCACCATACTTCTCTGAATGGCCAGTGTCTTTTAAACTAGTATACAATATAGTGCATTTCATGGCAAACCATCAATTTAATGAAAATGGGTGCCAAGGAACAAAAGATCCCAAATTAGTCAACAATGTTATAAACCAAATGTAAAGTATCAAAATCTGTTCTGGAGTTAGCAGTAACTCAAAATCCAATAGCACACTTATGCACCCATACACATACATGTGCACATGTACACAGACACACATACGTTTTATTTAACATCTTGGTGATATAACATTGTGATCCTACCCCAGAAATCAATGATGTGTGACTCTATAACTCTAAACACACTGGCACTGAGAGGAATGGGGGGATTTGTTTCCAGCTCCTTTGCTGGGGCTTTTGACCATTACAACTTGAAATTCCTGGTTACAAATATTTTTTTCTTTCTTTCATTTTGGCCCCAAAACTCACACAATCTGGTACTAAAATTTTTTAAATGGTTCTTACCACTGGGTAGAATCAAACTATTACTAGTTAGAGTCAAAATCATAAAAAATGATACATTTTAATACTATTTAATGCCACCATATTGTCTCACTTACAGTCTTAGAAATATAATACAAGGAAGCAATGGTAGCATTGCCTCCATTCAATTCTGAGAACAGAACATCACATTCTTTAGCTTTTAGACATCTTAGACAATCTTTTGTCACATGATGCCATGAGACATCAGTGACCTGCCCAGAATTTTCAGAGTCTTCATTGTTAAAAGCCATCACTGTCTAGGGGAATCTTAGGTTTCCTAACAAGTACCAGGTCCCTTGGGAGCACTAAGCAATGAATAAATGTCAAATTCTCCCCATGACCAAAGGGCAAGGGGATGGAAAGTGTGGAGGAGAAAGATCTTTGCTATTAGGTAATATCATCTAGTTCTCTGTTTTTCAGCTCAGCATTAGCCTTGCATGGCTAGTCCATGGTGTCACAGAACAGGGCTGGACAATACTCAAGAGAGATCATCATCCTAAAAGTCTTCCATCAATTACCCATTCTCCTCATCAAACAAAGGGAGATGTTCTAATGGGCCCCTGCCTGTATGTTGTTCTGGAGATGATCTTTCCTAGTGTACCTCTCAAATGTTTCAGGGTTCCTGAAAGTACCTAAGCAACTATGCCAAATAAGAATCCCAAAAGCATAGGCAGGTATACTATTTCTCAGCAAGTTGGGAGAAAGAGGTATTTCACTAAAATTGGTCACTTCCCTTTCCACCTTCCTTAACAAAGTACACCATTTCCTATGCACTCAAGTTTGACACTTCACAGTCATCCTTCTTCCTCTGAATTGATCTCAAATCTGTCACATGTGTTTTTGAATTGTTCCATTCATACCAACCTAAACCTGGAGATAATCATAACCTTCTTATGTGGGTTTTCCCAACCCATATCCCCTATACCTACTGCTTCTAAGCTAATAGTCCATAAGCATTTTCTTTGCATCTCCTGCCCTGCTGAAAATCTCTCTATGTTCTGTACAACAAGCCAAATTGCTCTGCAAAAATTCCAAACTCAACAAATTTATCAGCAACCTAGTTTTCCACTATTCCCCAAAAGGATTTCTTTCCTCTCATTATTATTTCTATCCTGCAACTTTCCTAGTATTTTCTCTTTTCCAGCCCCCAGGAATTTCTATCTTTCATGACACATGGTTAGAATCTGGAGACAGAGATGTCAATTCAAACCTTGGGCCCATTTCTTTCCAGCTCAGTTTTGGGGTGGGTTACTTTACTTTTACTAATCTGGTCTTAACTTCTTTCATAAAATAGACATAAACATGGATCAACACCATTATAGACTTGTTTTCAGGATCAAATAAAGCAAAATATATACAAATATATATGACCACACTGAGTACCTCAAAGTACATACTTAGTAAATATGGGGTTTCCTTTCACCTCCATTTTTTGCAGATCTGACCCAAGTCTTACTGAAATCTCACCTCTCACACAAAATTATCAAACATTTCAAGGTTCCTTTATCCCCTCACTGAATACCAACAGTACATTACACAGGCCTTGACTTAGCATTAAATCATGTATTGTCTTATACTGTTTCCAAATTACTTCACCTCTCCCAGTCTATCCCTTTGTTTAATTGTAAGTTCATTAATGATAGAGAACAACTTCTATCATATAGGAGTTTCTCAATCAAGTAATCATATGATTATGTCAAAGAGGCATCCAAAATAATACATAGTGATTTTCACTGCTCTTTTCTTTCTCAATTCTTTACCTCTTCACATGTCCTGTGCCTGACTTAGGTTTCTCTGTTGTGGTTTCTCTCTCTAACCATGACCTTCTGCCCACATCTCTAGATATTTTATGACGACAGGGCTGTATATATGACTATTTTGTTTTATTTATAGTGCTGAGATCAATACCAGGGCCCTGTGCATGCTAGGCAAGTGCTGTACCACTTAACTATATCCCAAGACCATATGTGACTGTTTTTTAGAATCACTTATTAGGACTAGAGTAGAAGATGGATTAGAGGAAATCTGCATTTTTAGTTGCTCCATGGCTCGGAATTCAAACATCAGGTGTACTACTTCTCAGCAAGTTGAGAGAAAGAGGTATTTCACTAAAATTGGTCAGTCAGAGTGTTTTAGAGACTCAGAAATTTTGGTACATTGAAAAAAGAAGAAAGAGTCCATTGGATTCAAGCCTTTGTGGCAACAGCTATGGTAGTAGTGCTGATTCACCACGGAGGGAAAGAAGAACATGAAGAGAAGCGTGACAGACAAATTTGGTATGGAAAAACCTGAGATCAGAAAAGCATCCAGAACTTAGCTGATCCAGAGGTTGCACTGTGCACTGTTGCTTGAAAAGTGATCTGTGTTTCTCAACTGGCCACAGAAAGCTGTGGCAGCAGCCATCTTGAGGCATCCACATGTATCTTGCTGCTACAAGAGACTGGAAAATCACAGCAAATATTTAAAGACTGCCCCAATGAGGACCTACTATGTGCTCTAGGGTACAACTAGAAGAATTTGAGTGAAATAGGTGAAAAGAGAATTGTACCCAGGGTGATTAATATCAGAAAAATGAAGGGGATCCCAATTAACTTTTCTTTTGAGATTGGTCACTCATTTGTCAAGATGAAGTGGGTCATGAATTGAACAGGGTAGTTTGAATACACTTAGTGACTTACTGGAAAGGATGTGTTCATGGGTAGCAGATTGTGTGAAGGATTGTCTCTCCTGCTCTATGAGTAGAATTCTTCAATGGCTCTGGACATTCAGAATCTCAACAGAGATTGGTATCTTCCTGGCCCTAGGGATTAGTTGATCTAATCTCTCTAGACCAGACACCATCCAAGAAAGTCTGTAGGAACACATTAGAATGAAGACCGAGTCACTGGAACTTAACTCATAAGGCTCTGCAGCAGACCTACCCTAGGAGTGCATTGATCTGGTCTAAGACAAAACTCCAGTTGACAATACTACCCACTCTACTCATGGTGAGAAGGAAAGCTACGAGCTATTTCACCAAGCTTCTTATTTCAACAAACTTCAGTTTTAGGCCACTCCAATTGGCAGGACAGTGAATAACAGAAAAGAGGTAGGAGTTAACAACCCCCAGCCACCATTGCGTGCCCTCCTTTGCACATGCTTGTGTGTGCTCTCCCACACCCCATTCTCTCTCAGTGTGACCCAGTTAGAAATGGAAAGGACAATTGAACATAGGAAGTGAACACTGAGTTTTATTGACTATGTTGATCACCTCAGTGGAGACAATTCCCTCATTTTACAATAAGAACGTTTCCCCTTTTCTTTGCTGTTTTTCTATGCTGATTAGTTCATGTACATATATACACAAAAATATTTGGGATTTTTTTCTATTTTTTAGTATTTCTTAATGCAGATATTTTTCTTTACCTTCTTTTTTGAGGGCTGTTTTTTGGGTTTCTTTATTTTGATTTTGTTTTGCTTTCATTTATTTCTCTTTTCTAGTCCTACTAACAGCTAAGTTCTCTTGTTCTCTCATCCTCTCTCCTTTTACTAGTATTTTTTCCTATTTTTCTCCTCTCATTATTACCATTCATCCAACATATCTTCTGCATTGTCTCTGTTTACTTTTTGAATTTTGTAAACTCCATTTCTTCTCTCTAAATGAACTGCTTTCATCATCTTTTAGAATTGGTTTGTATAATTCCTGCCCCAAGTATCAATGCTGTTGCTATTGTTATTGCTGTAGAAGACATAGTTGACACCTGTTGTTTGCTTTAAAGCCAGATTCAGTTGATGGTTACGTATTGTTTTTGATGCAGGCAAACACTGATCCACAATTCCTGCTGCATTGATTGTCAAAAGCAGTGTCAATTGCGATGCTGATTCACCACAGAAGAAGGGAAAACACAGAAAAACACAGAACAGAGAACAAAGATAGGAGAGGAATGCCACTTTAATAAAGAAATGGAAACAATGAAAAGAAACCAAGCAGAACTCCTAGAAATGATGGACACAATTCATCAAACTAAAAATTCAACTGAAAGCATCACTAACAGATTAGATTGTGTAGAAAATAGAACCTCATCACTTGAAGACAGAACTTCAGGCCTTGAAGACAGGGGATATGACCTTGAGTACACAGAATGCAATAAAGGGAAAAAATCATACGACATGACCAGAATACAGAAGAACTATGAAACAACGTTAAAAGACCAAATATGAGAATCATTGGGATAGAAGAGAAGATGGAGATAAAAATAAAAGGCATAAAGAACATTTTCAATAAATTAGTTATAGAAAAAATTTCCCATATCAGAAATGAGATAGACATACACATACAGGAGGCATACAAGACCCTAACTAGACCTATTCAAGTGAGAAGCTCTCCAAGACATATCATAATCAAAATGCCTAACATACAGCATCCCTTCATGTTTAATATACTAGAGACATTAAGGATAGAAGGAACTTACCTCAACATTGGAAAACCTGTATATGACAAACTTAAGGCCAACAATATATTTAATGGAGAAAAACTGAAAAGTGTCCTCTAAAAACAGGAACAAAACAAAGATGCCCACTTTCACCACTCCTATTCAACATGGTCCTTGAAAATCTAGCCAGAGCAATCAGGAAAGAAAAAGAAATTGAAGAAATACAAACAGGAAAAAAAGAACTCAAATCATTTCTGTTTGCTGGTCACTGTCTATGCCCAACCATCTTTCTTTTTGTTTCTTCTTTAATTATCTACTGATAGAGAAAGCAAAAGGTGGGAGTTGTTCACCCCTTCCTGTTTTTGTATTGCTCTCTGAGTTGTCAGTTGGAACAGCCTACAGTTGAAGCTGTTTGATATCAGACTATCTCTGCCCAAATTTCTGAGTCCTTAAGCCACTTTGAATGTCCAATATTGAATTTTAATGAAATGTGCCTTTCAACCACCTTGCTGAGACTCTATACACACGCTGCTTGGGTTTCAAACTATGGCATGATTTGGAATGTAAATTTCCTCTACTCTGTCATCTTTTCAAAATAATAAATTCAGCAGCATTAAAACACACCAGAAAACAGAACTTGCTAGCAGCTTTTACTTCTGGGGAGCATAAGCAGAAAGAACCTGGTTGGAAGGATAAGAAGACAAAAGGAGCAATTTTGACTGTTGCTCTAACAAACCTGTCACAAAAGGATTGGTACAATGAGCTCAATCTGTTATTTAAACAAGAGTGAGATGCTTAAGTGTTTGCCTGCTAATATCTGGTTAAATTATGTATCCACCTAAGGGTGTGCTCACAGCATTGACAAAACAAGGAATTTTATCATTTTCTTTATATCATAAGCTAAGACTCCCTCTTCCTTTCTGTTTTCAGGAATTTGAGCCACTGTGAACTGAAATATCATCTAAATTTCTTTGTATTTATGATTACTGAATATCATTTTAATATTTGTATTTGTAGGCAATATTCAAAAAAACAAATCAAAATAAACAACAAAATGTGGTTAAGGATGAGAGAAACTTAAGAATGAAATTATGGGTAAATCGGAACCAAGGAAACTACTTTCTAAGAATATATTTTCTGGATAATATAGTGGCCAAGGAAGACAAATGTTGATTGCATGTCTTTCAAATTTTTTTGGAGGCTGGAAGGGATTAATAAAAAAAAAACTCCAGTCAATAGAAATTAGGTTATGCTGCATATTTATATATGTGAAAATTTTCTTATCAGGAAAGTTGGTCACAAGTAGCTTTTTCCAAAGTATGTTATGTACATTTATAATGAAAGATGACACACTTTTTCAAAAAGTCTCAGGCACATTAAATTACTATAAATTGAAGAAAACCCACCCCTAAAAACCAACTTAAAATGGATCAAAGACCTAAATATAAGGCCAGGAACTATTAGAAGAAAATATAAAGGAAAAATTTCAAGACATTGGGACAGGCAGTGGTTTTTCTGGATGGAACCCCAAAAGTGCAGGAAACAAGAACAAAAATTGGCAAATGGAATTACATCTAACTAAGAAGCTTCTGCACAGCAAAAGACACAAGAAATAGAATGAAGAGAAACTACAGAATGGGCCTATACTTATGTGTGACTTCCAGAGCTCCTGATGAGGATGAGAAAGCACAAAGAATCCTTTGGTTTCCTGGACAGTCAGGGGAAAACACTGGTTTGAGGTCCTTCAACAGTTGTGAGAAATTACATGCTATTACTTCCTACCAATTTCCTACTTTCCTTCTATTCCTCTGCCAATTCCAGGTGGCATCATTTGTGCTTGATTGCATGGTCTTAGACCAGCATTCCACCTAAGTAGGCCTTGGTTCTAACCCAGTGTTGTGTTAGTCTTTGTGGGATGTGGGCTTAGAAAATGACATAGCTATATGGCTTTGGTGGTCATAGGTGTGACACAGGAGCCTAGAGCTTGTCCATCCACAGTGACTGTGCTCAGAGTACAGCAGATTTATGCAGTATCTGACCACATGCCGATAACTGTGGTGGAAAGGCACTTGGGCCTACCCTGGCCCCAGAGAGAGGATTATGGGGACAGCCTACTTTTTCTAGGTCTTCTTTGTTTCTTTCTGAATGATACACCAACTGTACATTTGTGACAAATCCATGCTTGGGTTATCGTCCAGTACTGAAACAATAAATCACATTAACAACATACTCCAGGCAAAGCTGGATTTGTGCACCACCCATTGCTGAAACAGTGGAAATGACTATAGCATCACAGAAAATAACCAGCTTGCTTACAATTTCTTGGAGAGATAGGCAAAAATAATGCAAAAGGGTAGAGAGTTTATTCAAAGACATATGACAGAAAACTTTGCAGACTTAGAGAGGACATAAGTATCCAGGGAAAGAAAAGTCAAAGGTTAAGAAATGGTTAAAAATATGTTCTGCAAGGCTGCAGCAGAAAAGAAACAAATAATAATAGGGGTATCTCAGTTCACTTGACAGCACACTTCTTAGCCGGAACTTTATAGGGCAGGAAAGAGTGATTTGAGATTTTCTCTTGTATTTTTCTTTTATATTGGTGCATTATAGTTGTACATAATGTAAAGATTTGTTGTTACATATTAGTAGATGCACACAATATAATATGTAATTCAGACAATACCCCTCCCTAGTGCTTTCCTCCTCCCTCCTCTCTTCCACCTCCTGGTACTATTCCTCTATTCTAATGATCTCACTTTTGCTTTCCATGTAATCACTCCCCACCTTTCTTTTCACTTTTACTCTCTGACCTTCAATATGAGAGAAAAGATATGCCTTGGCCTCACATATGAGAGAAAAGATATGATCTTCTGACTTTGGCCTATTTCACTTAACATAATGTTCTCAAGTTCCAGCCATTTCCAGGCAAATGACATAATCTCATTTTTTATGACTGGATAAAACGCCATTGTGTATGTATATTGCTTTTTCTTTATCCATTCATCTATATTGATGGTCACCTAGACTGGTTCCATAGTTTGGTTTTTGTGAATTGTACTACTATAAACATAGGTATACACATATAACTATAGTATGATGGTTTTAATTCTTTAGGATAAATACCTGGAAGTGATACAGCTGAGTATAATTATTTATATATGTATATTCATATATATGTTCATATATTTATTCATATTTATTCAAATGTATATGTTCATATATTTATGAATAAATATATGAACATATATATGTATAGCTTTACATATATATGTATATATGTATAGCTTTACATATATATTTTTTCATATATATTATCTTGATATATAATTTCATATCTATCTTCATATGTATTTTTATATGCATAGTTTTGTTTGTTTGTTTATTTTTGGCAACCTCCATAGTACTTTCCATTGTATTATAG